GTCTGTAATACTTTCAACAATAAAGATAAATTTAAAAATAAAATAATGAGGAGTGAAGAAGAAAAAAAAGCAAGAAAGTGAACGTGGCTCACTGATGCTCTGGCGACAAGGCCGTGAATGCTGTCCACGCACCACGCAGGGGGACCACAAAGGCAGCGGCTTCCTGGAGGGCTTGGGGGCGGATTTTCCCTTTTCTGGTTTCAATTATGACTCTAATGCTGTTTGTGCAATTGTGACAAAGATTCTTTTTTAAGGATAAGGGAACTGAAACCCATCTAATTTGTCCGCTGGTCTCTGGCCTGTCTGAGCACAGGCCCACCGCCCGTTGGATAACGTGTTTGTGGAGGGATTTTTGTAGTGGCCGGAGGCTGGGCCAGATGCCTCCAAGCTCAGTCTAAAGCAGGCCTTCTGGGGCACCTGCCCAGCCACGCCCTTTACGTGAGAAAGGTCCCTCCACACCAGCCACAGCTGATTGGGCCTGGGGTGGGTGCCACAAAGGAAGGGCATGCGGCCAATGCCACATGGGTCGCAGGCAAGCTGAGGGAAGGAGCTGAGCGACTTTCAGTTGCTTGAAACCCAATGTGTCCTGGGCAAAGCTCGTTTCCTCCCCAAACCCAGGCTTCACCCCTTCTCTCTCGCCCCTCCAGGGGGGCCAGGAGTCTCCCACCTCCCTGACTCCCAAGTCCACCAGGGCAGCCCCTGCAAGATCAGGGTGACAGCCCAGCCCTCCGGGCCAGCAGTGCGCACCTGATGAGCACAGGCGTGTAGAGGAGGGCCGCGATGGGCGTCACGTTGATGCCGATGAGCATCTTGCTGTCGATGTCGGGCAGCCCCATGTTGCCATACTTCACCTCTCGGTAGGTCTCGTCGTAGTGCAGGATCAGCTGCATCTGCAGGAGACCTAGGGACAGGGGGCTGCAGGGGCGGCCTGGCTGGGGGCAGCCTCGCCGAGCAAGCAGAGGCTGGAACACTTTCACCAAAGGGTCCCCTACTCCCGCGCCCTGGCGGGGCCTGGATGGAGGACGGAGGGGGAGCCAGGCTGGGCCAAGCGTCCTACCAGCCATGCAGCGTCAGCGACTTTATTCCCCGTC